CCGCTCAGAAAAGAGGGAGCGTGGCTTTTGAGGGGTACTTATGAGGGAGGACTTCCCAAAATAAGCAAGCCCAGGAATTAAGGAGCCGCTCAGAGAAAAGTGGAGCGTGGCCTTAAGGGGTGCTTATGAGGGAGGGGTTGCTTTGATCAGAGTATTAAGTTTTTGTGTACACAGGCCAGCCGAGAAGGGGCCTAGTGCCAGCCGGGAAGGGGCACTAAAAACCTGTTCAGAGACTTCCCAAAATAAGCAAGCCCAAGAATCAAAGAGCCGCTCAGACGGTGGAGCGTGGCTTTGAGGGGTGTTTATGAGGGAGGGGCGGCTGAAGCAGGTGTCTGCAGACTAAGTAGAGTTAGACTGTTAGTCTTTGTTTGTTCATTATATGTTGTAAAAAATATTTGTATGTGCGTCAAAGCGTTGGAAACATTGAAGCATTGAATGTTTTGGCTGAATGATTAACTGTGTTGTCTGCTTTGCGCTGTGTGGGAAGCTGAATGTGTGTGTGACATATATGTTTTATGTAAATGCTCTTTGATTTAATTGGAATGAAAAAGCAATACAATTAAAGACAAATACACTAAATGAACAATAAAGATTTTATTGAGAGAATTGTAAGAGTTGAAAAAACAAAAAATATTCCAAGGAATTGGCTCTGTCGGCTGTTTGGACACCGTCCAAGTTGCCGACGTTGTGATCCAAATTGTGAAACTGAATTATTGATAAAGAAACAGATACAGAAGTGATTGATTTTTCATTCCTAAAGAAAGAGAAGGGAACCAAAAGCTGCTTGGTGCTTTTTTCTCTTCGCTCTGTGTGAATGTAGCAAAAAGTGTGGGAGAGAAGGCCTTGAGTGTGTGTGCAGGCGAGGAACCTGTGTGTGTGTGAGTGTGTGTGTATGTGAGTGAGAGAGATACATATGTGTGCTGAATGCGTGTGTGTGCACATGAGAAAGAGTGAGAACCATATGTTGATTTGATTTGATTTGTGCGTGACTAACAAAGAGAAAGTGTTGTGTGTGAGTAAACGCTGATAAGAGTAAAGGCTGAGATAAGGGAAGAAAGCAGAGAAAATAGACAGATTGTTTTTGTGCCTGTTCTGATCCTAAAAAAGAACAGAATGAGCATATTAGATATACAAGACGAGTTCAGTTTTGATGCAAATTATGAACACCAAAGTGAATGTAGAAGTGTGAAAGAATATCAAGAATTTTTGAAGACTTTGAGAAATACAAGAGGCATCTGTAATCATTTTTGGTTGGAATCAGATTTTGTTGACAGGAAAGGGCAGGTACAAAGATTGACAGATTACAAGAAGAACAGTCTTCTTAGAAAATTGATTAGCATTATAAATTTAAGGGACATAACAGAGGAATGGCCAACAATACCTTGGGAAAATATTGTTTATAATAACATAACAGTTCGACAATTGACAGATCAACTAGTGAACCTTTGTGCCCCAACACTTTCCCCAACAGAAGCTGCATCTAATGTAATTGAAATCCCAATTGGTCGAATTATAGCACCCTATGATAGTCGATATGTGGCAGGTCAGTGGATAAGGGATACCACAGTAGCTACAATCCTTGACAATATATGTCTCTCACTGACAGTTGTCACACGAGAAGTAGCCTGGATATCTAGAGTGATAGTCAAATCAGATGAAATGGGAAACATTACACCAGTAACTGTACCTAGTAGTACAGTGAGACGTTTGTTGGTGACAATTGAGCTGAGAGGTCTGCCACAAATATATGCCGTTATGGCAGTGACTATACCTAGTAGAACGAACAGTGAGTTGTTGGTGACAATTGAGCTGAGAGGTGTGCCACAAATATATGCCATTATGGATGGTGAGCAGAGAAAGTAAAAAAATAAAGAAAAGGGGCCCAGGACTAACAGTTCAGCACACTGAGAACACTGCTTAAATAAATTAGTT